TTTTAAAGACTTCTTATGTATAGTGCAATGAAATAACATAGATAGGAAAATTACAGCTATGACAGTCAAAATCAAGTTACAGGGAATATAAGAATAAATAGAATGTTAGATAAAAGAAGTTTCATATAGATTCCCTATTAGAAATGTCATAGAGACCAATTATAGATCTTGAACATAATTCATCCCATTTCCCACAATACGACTCTTCTCAGTACCTCGCCATTTACTCCCACCCAGGCTTCCCTTTTACAACTCAGCAGCTCACACGTTAGTCACAGAAGTCTACTTTACGTGCACCCCTGCGGATACTGGCAGGAGACCCCTGCTCTCTACCGAGAAGCAGCTCCTTTACTGCTGTTCACAATGCAAATTCCTGCTTATTCCCGGAGCTAGACAGAAGACATTTCCTGAAGCCGTGCTTGTGATGACACTCCTGTGGTCGGGGTATCAGGTAAATAATCACTGCATTGATTATATACTCTGAATCTTACTAAGCCACTGAAGTGGCAAGCTTTTATTGATAACAACTGATGTCAAAAGTGTTTTGATTCTAGGTGAGATTTTATCTTCATAGTAGATAAAACTTGTCTAGCAAAGCTCTGCAGGTTAAGGAACTTGCCTGGCAACCTGAATGTGATATCTAGGACCCACATGGTGCAAGGTTAGAATCTGCTCCTAAAAATGTGGACCTCCAACCATGGGCGGACACACACACACACACACACACACACACACACACACACACACAGTACCACATATGTATAAGTGAACAATGAGGAACAAAACTGTGCTATTTTAGACTCAATGAAGAGCAGATCTGGCTTTCTAAGCAAAGAACCTGAAAGGTGCTTCATAAAGAGTCCTGCGATCTAGTCATAGCACAAGGCTTCACTGGCTTATAAAGCTCAATTATTCTGCCAGAATGATACCCAGAGATCTAATTCTATTATTCTATTGGTTAGGATATTTGGCATAAAGCCAGTCCCACCTTGTTAACCTCATGTGATATATTTTTACCTTTTTTTTTTTTTTTTAAAAAAAGACATTCAGGTTCTTTTCGAAGAAGCCTATTAACTGTTGAAGAACATCTTGGAACTACAAAGCTGAACAAACTGAACTCAGGGTTACTAAGCAGTTGGTATCATCAGTTTAAAAAATCATTGGTTTTATTTTTTGAGATAATAACACAATTACATCATTTCCCCATTACCTCTCCATCCTCCGAACCCTCTTGTATTACCACCTTGCTTTCTGTCAAATTTGTTGATTTTTCTATTTTGGAGCTTATTTCTCAGAATTTTATTTACTCTGCTTTCATGCATGGGTTTGAGAGGGTTGAAATAAGCTCTTGCTCTCTGGTATTTATTCATTCACAAAACCGAGGGATGCATGGTGCCTTTCCACTGAGGGTGATTGCTTTTGTCTGTTGACTCTGTTATGAAGCATATATGTATGAATACTTGTAGGTATAAATAAACATCTTGCTCATGCTGAGCCCATTTCTCAGGTGAGTTTGACTTCCCAGACTAGCAAATTTACTGGCATTTCTAACTTTTACCAACAAGTGAACAAATCAGTAGAGACCTTTTTGCACAACAAGCATCACTCTACCTTCTCCACGGTCTCTCATATATATTACAAGACATTCATAAATACATTTAAGCATTAAGGATTTTTAGGCACTACATCCAAGATTACTAATTATCTCCAATCACAGTTTCCCCTTCTTTGTTGCAATAATACAATAATACACCTCCCATCACCATTCCCATTGCCTTACCCAGCAACTACACTTCCCAGACTCTGTTACATCTAAGGGTAACCATTGATGAATAGGATGTGAGGGGAAATGATTTATGAACCAACGGATTATCTCTTTAGAAAGGAAAATGTCTCCATATCTGATGAAACATTGAGAAGTCAAACTGGTGTCTAACTAGAACCTTCGCTCCTGTTAACTCGTGTTCATGGTACTGGAAGATACTCTGCAGCTACCAAAAAAGGATAAACACTGATCTAGCTACAAATCCTTTAATCTACAGTGGTGAACAGTCTGCATGATACACCAACAAAATAGCGGCCCAAAAGTTGTGGAAGAACCAAATCCCTCTCTGGTTGGACTTAAAGCCAATCCACGAGATGGAACCCATTCTTAACATTGCTCAAGTTGCCAAGAACCTGAGACTAGATAGGCTGTAGACCTAGGAGAAAACCAAATAATATTGTTCTAATAAAGAAATACAGTAATAAAATTATGTCTAATGACATTCTAAAGTCACAGCTCAGTATCTTATTCAGCTATCATCAGAAAAGTTTCCTCCTTCTGGAGACGAGAACTAAAACAGAGACTCCCAAGTGGACAATGTGCAGAGTGGGAGACCTTGGAACACTCAGTCCCAAAGGGCTGTCTGTATCTATCAAACCCTTCCCCTCAGTGTTAGGAGAACTCTGCAGAAGAAGAGAAAGAATATTGTTAGAGTCAGAGAGGATGCAAGAACCCAAGGAAACAGTGTCTTCCAGACACAACAGGACTGATGCAATAGGAAGTCACAGCATGCACAGGCCTGCACAGGTCCACATTAGGTGGAGTCCCAGCACTGAGAAGAGTGGTGGATGGGAATCCCCATCCTTAACCTAGAAACTATCTCCAGTTAACAATCACTCACAAAGGAAAACCTAGTTTTCTCCAGCAGTCACTGAGAATACAAACCACACAAAAGGGAGGCCGCACCTCCAGCAGTAGAGAACCAAGAGAAAACAAACTCAATGGTGTTTTGTCTCATAATGCTTTGTTTGAACATTTTTTTCACCTTATTTGTCTTTTGCTCATCTATTATGGTTTCTGATTTTGTGTGTGTAATGATGTGTGTATGTGTGCATGCATACACTCATTCATGAGCATGCGTATGTGCATATATGTATGTGCTTCCATACATGTGTTTGTATGTATGTGAGTGTGCATGCATATGTGCTTGTGTGTGTGTGTGTGTGTGTGTTTCTCTTGCTTTTCCTTTGTTTTTTAGTTTTTTCTTTTTCTTTTCTTGTTTTGTTTTATTCCTATTTGTTTGGTTTTGGTTGTTGTTTTGTTTTTTAATTTCTTGTTTTTGTTTTTGTTGCTGTTGTTGATGCTGTTTCGCCTTTTTGTTTTCGAAAGAAAGAGAAAGATCTGGAGTTGCATGCGTAGGGCAGTGGGGAGGATCTCTTAAATGAAGGAGGGGAAACTGTAATCAGAATATACCATATGAAACAAAATTATTCTCAATAGAAAAAAGCAAACAACAACACCAAAAAAAAACAAGAAAAGAAATTACAAAAGTGCATACCCTTTTTTTCTAAAAAGGGTTCTTTCCCTTGTTCTAAATAAAATTCCCTCCTTCTAAAATAAAGAAGTAACATGGAGCTAACCTAGACTCAATATTAGTTCCATAGTCCCTAAAAATATACTCTATGTCATCTACCAAAAGGTGGATCAAACATACAAGAGAGACAGGTACACATATGAGTTAAACAAAATTATGTTTGCAGTCTATCATATACCTTAAATAATGTATTGAACAATAAGAAATCTGCTTCCATATGAACAACCTGGCACAAACAAGATTTGTGACAGAATTATAAGTTCCAGGGGCAAACGAGTGTCCCAAGCACAGTGCTGTAAGAATGGAGGAGAATAAGTCACAGCTTAGAATTTGTAGATCTTCAAACAAAGGCTAACACATTGTACAGAAATTTTATTCTTCTTCTACCCATATTTTTAAATAGACATTCTGCATCACTTTAACTATTTTTCCTTTCTAAATTGTTTTGAATTAGTGAAATATATTTACTATAATAATGATAATTGTATTAGAAACAATATGCAATCATACTTCAATAGTATGTGTTGGTTACCAAGCACACAAAGATAATGAATATTCATGAAACTTTCATACAAACTAATAACTAGAATCTTGCCAGTAACTTGCATATGCTTATTTTTATAATATGAATGGATTTGGAATAAATATAAATGTATAAAATAGTTCCATTACTACCTCAGAGGTTGTTATGTCCTTAATCCCAATAAATTGAATCAAAAGTATATAGGTATCACTTGTAAGTGGTACAGAAGCTAGTAGCATAGAAGTTAGCCCATGCTACACACGTCAGGGTTATTTCTTAACCTTTCAACGTTCTGAGTCCTATTTTCCTCTTATAGAAAATACTGCTTTAAGTATTCATCACAGAGCCCCTGAAATTTTTATATGAGACTGTGAAGGTGAAAGGTCACTGCTCACAATGAGCATCTAGTGATCATAACCTAGAAAAGGACTGGAGTTGGGGTGGGGTAGGTAGGAGCACTGGGGTGTCCTTGCAGTACACCCAAAGCAGATGGAGAGTTCAGTCAAAAAAATGGAAAATCTGGCTGGAATTCCTGTTTGGGTGTTGTTAGGATTCAGGCATTATGCTGACCCCTGTCATCTGGCAGGATGTTCCCTGGCAGTACTCTGACCAGTCCAGGGTCCTATGGTTGCTACATCACTACATATGTATGCAGGTGCAAAGGTCCCCTTAAGAGACAAGTTCCTCCCATTCCCACTCCCTTCCTGCTGCTTTTCGCTGCTCTTCAGAAGAGGCTCATTCTTACCTCTTCTTCCTCTTCCTTTTCCTCTTCCTCTCTACATTTCCCTTTCCCTCTTCCCTCCCCTTCACTCTTCTCTCAATAAACTCCTCAATTAAGCTCTGCCTGCAAGGCATATTTGTCTCCTGCTCTCTGTGAGGCCTCGGGTTCTCACCAGCTGCATGATCCCCTGTAGCCGCCAATGTCTCCATCGAGCCGTTTTACAACATTTTTCATTTATGTGTGAATGTAAGCTAGGTTTAACTCTGAGTGTATGTTTCTGTGTATGCAACTTAAGTTCAGCTGTGCATATGTCTACATGTACTTACTGTTAAATATGTTTTAAGTTCCTGTACGTGTGGGCGGAGAAAGTCTGCAACCTCTGAGCCGCTTGGAGAACATCCTTGAGGTCATCTGTACCGTCTGCCTGGGAAAAGATGGCCAACGTTTTGAAAGAAGTGTTCATAGAATGCGATCCCGCCATGAAGCAGTTCTTGCTGTACTTGGATGAGTCTAATGCCTTGGAGAAGAAGTTCATCATTCAAGACATTGATGACACACATGTCTTTGTCACTGCAGAACTGGTTAATGTCCTCCAAGAACGAGTAGGGGAGCAGATGGACCAGAATGCCTTTTCTCTTACCCAGAAGTGAAAATGCTAGGTGTTGAGTGCTCAGAAATTACAAATCACAGACATGGAAGAGAGGCCTATTTAGTGTCTCATACAACACTTAGACTTTTTATAGCGTTTTGTGAGAAAGGCTGCAGGATCCTTTATTCAGACAAAAGCCCCTAAATGAATTTGTTGAACCCTTAAGAAAATCTTTAGAGAAAAACTAACAATTGGCAGCAATTTTGGCTTTTATTATTCTTTATTAAACTAATCATAATCATGTTGGTGCTATGGCTCTGTTGGTAAAGGTCCTTGCCACCAAGACTGACAGCCTGAATTTGATCCCAGGGGAGGGAAGACCTCTAAGCTTGTTAACTGACCTCCGCATGTGCCTCCTTCCCACAGAGACAAGCAAACATAACCAGATAGAATCATAAGTGATTTTTCTAACTTTTTTAAAACACCAATTAAATACATCAATAAAATTGTGGGGTTTGGTTAAAAAAAAGAAATAGGTTTTAAGTTAAAACCATTTACACTCAAGTTTGAAGACTCTAGGCAAAACATTCCTCCACAACCTCTCAGCTTGGATCCAGCTCTGCAGGCAGATCCTATACTGTAGTCAAAGCTCACATTTACACAATAGACAGCCCTCAAATGTTCAGAGGTCTGGGGAATATGGTATTTAAATATTTAATTAAAAAGACATTTTGTAACAGAGAGACAGGTTGCTCCTGGCAGCAGCCCCCACTTCCTCCCAAGAAGATGAATGGGAACAGGTGAACTTCCATCTGTAACTTGTTTCCCAAGTGAAAACACTGTAAGCAGAGACTGCGCCTTTATTTTCTGGCCACCCAGACCCAAATAATCACAGAAACTATATTAATTACAACACTAATTTGCCAACAGTTTAGACTTATACCTAGCTAGTCCTTATATCTTAAATTAACCCATTTCTGTTAATCTGCGTATTGCCACAAGTCTGTGGCTTACCGGGTAATGTTCTGGCATCTTTCTTCTTTGGCAGCTATATGGTGTCTTCCTGTATCCACCTTCTTTTTCCTCTATCTCTGCTTGGATTTCCTGACTTGATGTATTCTGCCCTGTCATAGGCCATAGCAGTTTCTTTGTTAACCAATGGTAATAAAACATATTCACAGCATACAGAGGGGAACCCCATATCAAAGAGCTAGCCACTGCCTAAACCTGCCTTTTATCTCAACTGCTGAAAATTCTCTTCAGACGGTGGACAGCAGACACAAAGGAATCAACTGTCTCAAATTGCCTTGGGCAAGGTAAGCTGGTCTTCCTACAAATTCCTAATCCACAGAATCTTCTGGGGCCTTGCAGGCCTATCTCAGCCACCAAAATGAGGATGTTTCCCTAAGACCAGCCCTCAACAACCATGGAAGACCCTGGGGTGGCTGTCTAGACAAAAATAAAGTAAGTCTCTGTCATTTTTTAAGCATTAACTCAGGCAAAGTTTATCCTTCTCAAGATTTCGGATACTGTTTGATGACTGATAGATTTGCCGACTTAACAGCAGGAACCAAGGCTAAATCTAGACACAGTTCACCTTGCTACCAGACTCAAGAAAGTAAGAACTTACAAAGGAAACTTCTGCTGAGTGTTAAGGTGATGCCATAATGATGGGGAAGGAACAGACACTTTCAGGGTCACTTGTGTGAAGATAGAAAAGGTCTAAATAAGAAGATCTAAGAATGTTTCAGAGTGTAAGAAAATGTTTTAAGGTGTACAGATGCAAGTCTCTGTACAGATCTCTCTCGCATTATGCTACTGTTATATTAGGACTCCAAGAGTCCATAGTCTTCCATTAGTCAATAGAGTTCTAATAAGCTATTAATTCAACTCTGACAGGGTGCTAGACACCATACTATACCACTACCATCACAGTCACAAGCTCGAGATTTTGAATTCCCGCCAGTGGTTTCCTTACTATAACCCTCAAAGACACTTTTCGTTGTACAAAAACATCTGTCACAGACATTTCTGGCATTCATATGCCATTTCTACACTGTAAATTTCAACACTATAAACAGTGGGAATGTCGATGTGTCTAAAACTTATGCTTTCACAAAGTCAAAGAATTCTTGTAAGTTCCAGGGAGTCTACTCAGAGGATTCACCTCAAACAGGACAAATACACCCATCCCTCAATTACCAAACCCTAAGAACCTAAGCCTCTCCACCTTTCCCTGGTTCTGACACCCTCCCGCCTCAATCACCAAGACCTAAAGAAAGAAAAATTTTCTCGAAACTTAAATTTGTTCTCTGCTCTGCCACCATCTTGCCAGGTCTAAGAAACACTGGCTAGCTCCACAGAGCCTGGATAGTGTAGTGAAACGACCAGCTACCCCAGGACTTGGCAGCACCCCAGCTTTCTCAGATCCCCCAAAAGATGGTCGATGCCCCCTAGGTCAGCGGGAAGCAGTCTCGAGAACTGGACTCCTCATTCCTTCCACCTGCCATGTGCAACTCCTGACCTTCTCAACAAAAGAGAAGGGAGGAATGTTAGTATTCAGGCACACCTTGGCCCTGCCCCTCAGGAAACTGTCACAGTGTGTCACCACTCTGGACATGGCAAGCCATACCCCGACTGTACACAGGTGCAAAGATCCACCTCTCTTCCCGCTGTTCTTCTGAAGAGGCAACCAGGTCTTTGCCTCTCTTTCTCTCTGCCTCCTGCCCCTTTCTCTCTCCCTCTCTTTGTCTCTCTGTCTCTCTTTTTCCTTCCCTCTACCCTTCTCTATAAATCTGCACTCAAGTTCTGCCTGCATAGCATATTTGTCTCTCGCCCATGTCTCTCACCCACCAGGGTCCCTCTCACACTGTATCCATAACAGGTGTGACTCAGCAGGTTTGGAAAATAAGGACTCTGATGAAGATAGATTTATTGACCTTGCCTTCTTTAATATATTCTAATGTGTTTTGATTAAATTTCTTGATGTACATAAAATGATGAAAAGATGCCTGGCTCATATGCAATATTATTGACATGTTTAATAAATTAGCTGAACTTGGACAAGAATATGAAGAAGCTCCTATGTCATATACAAGTCAATTCCGTTTATAAGGACCATTAAACATGAAGGTGTATCTTTACGGTTATTGAATAATTAAAATATAAACAACCAGCATGTGTGTTCATTCTGGTGACTCAGTTGTCACTAGAAAAAGCAGAATTTTCTGAAAAATGTCTCTATTAAAAAAGGATCCAAATCACTATTACCTCTAGAATGATACATACGGTGGTAGGCAAGAGACACTAAATCATTAAGTAAATTACTGAGTCATAATCCATTGGAATATTTTTTGCTGTTTATTGTTTGGTCTGTGTTTTTATTAATTAAATTTATTTGTTTATATTACATCCCAATCCCAGTTTCCCTCTCCCTCCTCTCCTCCATTCCCTCCTTCTCTCTGTTCGCCTCTCCCCTAATCTAAGCCTCTCTCTGTTTCTGTTCAGAAAGGGGCAGACCTCCCATGGTTATCAACAAAGCATGGCATGTCAAGCTGCAGTATAACTAGACACCTCCCTTGTACAAAGGCTGGGCAAAATAACCCAGGATGAGGAATAGGTTTCCAAAAGCTAGCCGAAGTGTTAGGGACACCCTTGCTCCCACTGCTAGGAGTTCCCCAAGTAAACCAAGCTAAAAAGCACAAAGCTCAGCTGCTAAAGAGAATTGTGTGGAAGGAATTTATAAATATAGATGCCTGGGCTCCAACTGAGACTCCCACAGAAGATTTGTACTTTTTTTTCAGTTAGTGGAGGTTAATAGGCTAAGCAAAGTAAACAAAAGTGAGTGTTTGCTAATAAACCAACTTCATATAAATAGTTTTACATGAATAAATAATACTATATTAAACTAATTTCATCACATTTTAAAGAACACTTAGGTGGCTTATATTCCTACTATCACAATAGATTTAAAGTTAATTAGAGAGTTTGAAAGTTTATTTGTTGACAAAAAGTAAATTGAGAATTTTTTTAAATGTTGAGAATTTTTGCCAGTTTTTTTCTCTGAATTTGATCATCTGACATCTTTGTTAATCAATAGCTGTTTCCCTGTTTGTAACTTATAACAGAAAAAGTGTTAAGATCTGGGCCAGACACATTCCTACCATAACATGAAGTACAGACTATTCCGTGGATTAAATTACTTAAAACTCTTTGGGGACCATGTCAAATACAGGCATCATCTGATCTACGGAACATGTGTTACGCAACCCCAGGGGATGCTTGAAACTAACCAGCCTGGGGATAGTCTAAAGAGACACTCATGTCTCTCACTTTTGCTCTCAGATTATTGAAACAACAGACCCCTGAGATTCCTCCAAGAACCTCAGGTTCAGAAAAGGAAAATTTTAAACCCTCAATCATTCATAGAGGAAGACCCCTCTACTCCCAAAAGGTTTACAACTTGTGAGATGGTACGGCAGTGAGTGGACAGGATCACACCTTTACTGGGGACTGTAGATATTGATAATGCTAGCATTCTATTTAAACCTTAACTTCTCGTCAGGACCTAGATAGAAAGACTAAGAAATCACTGGATCGTTTTTCCTTTTCCCCAATGTGTACATGTTGGATAAATCTTCTTTTTAACCTTTCCCCATTAATTTGACTCATTTAATTAGCTTATCAAGGATGTGTGTCTGAACCTGGTTTCTTGAGAAACAAGTTGTGACTCTAAGTCTGATAATAAAATCATAGAAGTAGAAAATCTTACTTATATGCTATGATTTTCTTACTCATATGTGTACATGGTAAAGTTGAATTTATACCTTGGACACAATAAGAGACAATGAAAAACTAGTCAAATAGAATAAAGTTAATCATGTAGTAAATGGCATGCTGTTATGAAAGCCTCTCGTCATGGAAACATAGTCTGCTCGACATGGACATACCAGGCAGAAATGAGTCACATCTTGAGTAGGACAGAGAAGATTCCATCACACTGCTCACAAGGGCATGCAGTTTTGAACTTACAACTTCCTCTCTTCAGCAGTTTTCCATTGA